TCCTCCCTCCCCGAAAGCCCATGGCGCCTCCAGTGCCCTGCAGTGGAGGCAGAGGGGGGCGGGGGGACGGGTGGGAGAGCCTTTAGGAAAGGGGAACACGCACATCTAATAAAACATAGAAAGGCACTGTTGTATAACACGGGAAACAAAAAGGCCAGTGGGAAACAGCAGGCATTGCTGGCAGCGTGGGCCTGGTGAGAGGAGAAGAGGATGAAGCAGTAACTAGATATTACCCTGGATTTGTGTAGGCAAATGTTCACAGAACTGCAGCGGAGGGGCTGAAGTTTACTAGCAGCTTGTCTGCTTTAGAATACAGTTGCCAAGCAATACCTTTCCCCTCGTGGAGGGCTCAGATAGGTTTAATCGCTTTCTTCAGCCAGAAGGCTACTCACCGAGGTCAGTGCCTCCACGTTGGCGCCCATCAGACAGAGGTAGCGGACCACGTCAAGAATGCCGTTGTTGGCTGCAAGGTGTAGAGGTGTTCGTCCATACTGGAAGAGACAATCAATCAATCAATCAATCAATAAAAAGACCCCAAAGAGTCTTTCTCACGATAGTGCCTGAGGATAACATTTATGGAGCCTACTCCACGGAGCCAGCACCACGTGCGAGATCTGGGATCCATCAGAAAGAAATAGGAGGCGCAGTCTGCCTTCTCTAGAAGCTTGCTGTCTCCTGAGGAAGACAAGCCAAGCGAAAATGTTTTCAAGGATTTTTCAGTTAACAGAGTAACTTCAAAGGATGAAAGAGTGGGAGGCTTATCATAAGGTAATTAAGTCTCCTGCTGTGTTGGCAGAACGGAGGGTTGAGTCAGGGCTTAAGAGCTCCAAAGATCCAGAAAGATCCGCACCAAAGTTCAAATTTAGACACAGCAAGGGAGAAGTGATGGAAGTGGAAGACAGCCATTGAAGACACTCTAGTGAGGTGAAATTCCAAGGCCATGCCCACCATTTTTTTTTATGCCTATGGTTCCCAAACTGTGTGCCAAGGCACTTCAGGGCACTGCAGTAAATTCACGGGGGGTGCTGATAAATATTCAAAAATTTTAATGGAATCAGCAGGTTCGGACACCAGGTGAACTACGAGCTCCAGGTAGTTCAGAGTCTCGAGATTAGATTGCACTGTCTTCCTCTCAATGACATCATGTCTGCACAGCGAGGGTTTGGCGGTTGCTGTGATAAGAAGCAAGTATCTCGAGAAAATTAATGTAGAATAGGAAATAAAGCTAGCAGTGTCCAATCTGAGTCCAAGGTTTGAGGAGTCATGAGGTGCCCAATGAGCACACACATCCCATTAGTACATAATTATAGTTATGTAAGAATAAAATTAAAATATTAGTTTTCTTTCAACTTATGTGGATCATTCATTCCAATAGCTACAAAGTTGTTAGGATATAAATACTAAGTTGTTTAGACTGAGCTACTAATAAACAGAACAGTTAGGTATTTCTTTTGTCCTGGGGGAACCATGAAAAAATTACTGAGACACTGTAGAAGTTGAGAACAGAGAAAGTTTGGGTATCTCTGTCTTATGCCGTTTATTTACAAACATAGGTTTTTGTTATGAAGTTAAATGCTCATTTAGAATATCCAAACAACATAGAAGGATTGAATGACAGAAAACGGGTCTTCCTCTCAACTTTCCTGCTTCCGCTGAGACCCCTGTGCTCAGAGCTGACCCTACTTAACACTTTGGGCATTTCCTTCCAAGATTTTATCTATGAATTCACAAGACGAAGTAAATAATTTGAAAAGTCAAGATATAATCATATTCCAGATTCTATTTTGTCACTTGCTCCATTCACCTAACAATAGATTGTGAATGCTGTTCCATGTCTGCAACTATATCTATGACATTCTTTTGGATACCTGAATAATTTTCACTGCATAGATAAGTCATAATTATCAGCCAGCCCGCTGAGGATGAACATTTAATGTAGTGCCATACCTTGCTATTATAAATAATGCTGCAAGGTGTGTACATATTAATGTTTTGTCTACTATTATCTTCTAGAGTGACTTAGAAAGCAGATATTAAACTTTAAAATATCCTAAAGTTGAAGCGAGAAGGAAAAGAGAAGTTTTGGAAGATTTGGATGAAATATTTGGATTTATGTGTAAGGAAGATAACCTTGGTTATAGAATGTATAGTTTCATAGAAAGAAGGGCAAGCAAGAGAAGTATGAGGAAGAAAAGGGACTAGGAAGTTTACACTCTTGAAGGCTCCTGATTTTTGATAGAACAAAACCCAAACAAACTCCTTTGCATTAGATTCAAGGTCTTTCACCACCTGGACCCACTGTCCCTTTCAGTTGCATATTCTCTTTCACTCATTCTCTCTTTAAGTACCTACGCCACGTGTCAGCTACGGGGGCATCCAGAAAGTCCCCAAACACAGACGTACGCGTCCCTCAGTCTGCAATATGCTTTCCCAGGTCTGCAATATGCTTTCCCCTCTTCTTCATCTGTCAAAACAATCATTATAAATGATCGCCTCTGAAAAGCTTTCCCTAGTTTCTTTAATGCCAAGATGTCAGCGTTTCCATAACACCTGTGTCTCTGCCACAATCAGTGATTCCGACACGAGATGCCATCATATTAAAAAGCAGCCTGAGGGCAAGAACCATTACTCTGCCAGCCACAAGCTCCCTCACATTGTGCTTGGCACAGTGCTGCCAGAGAGAGCATTAATACACCCTTGCTGGGCATAAAATTTCCTCTCACGCTCCCGGATATGGGTGCGTATCTCTGTGTACCTTCATGTGTGTATGTAGCTGCGCTTGTGTACAGCATGCTTTCTCTATCTTCACTGATAGGAAGAGTCAACACAAAAGGAACAGAGCTTTAAGGGCTATGAGCTCTGCATCGTCTATTTCTTCTCTCTTGTGTTAGCTAACATGGCCAACTTCAGTAGCCACTCTGCTGATTTTTATATGAGACAAATGACTGAGAAATGTCCATGACACTGCAACGAGTGTCAAAGATAGTGACAAGTTCCTGTCACATTCTGGTGACAGGGTAGGCTATGAATGGCCATTTTTATCTCTGGAGGAATTGAATCCAAGTAAGGAGAAGGCAAGAAAGGAGTGACAGTCTGCCTGTAGGGCGTGGGCTGTCACTGTGCAATGTTCATCCTGACGGCAGGTTACTAGGGTGAGTCCATGTAAAGCCAGGTGTGCTTTCTGGCGACATAACGCATTCCTCTTACTTTTCTGCGCATCTTTTAAGCTCCTCTAGGACCTCCATTATCTTTCTGAAAATAAAAACATAACAAAACAAAAAAAAGGAACGGAGAAACAAAGCTGACACCAGTCCCCCTGAGGAAGGTAGGAGACCCATAAATCGTCATCGGCTGAGGCTCTGAGCACCGAAGACAGACTGGGGAGCCCGTCTGCAGGTCCAGGAATGCAGAGCTGCTTATCAGTAGCACGCTGAGTAGCACGCTGCTGACCTAGTCAAGTTCTGAAAAATGGTTTGAACTTTGCTGCTAATTTCAAAAGGTTGAAATTGTGGCACTAATGAGTTTTGCTTCAGCTGAGTTTAATTCAATGACACAACCATCTGTTGCATGTGCTGTTGCTGGGCCATATATAGTAAAAACACAAGTTTATGTCAGCGTATAGGAACCACGATGGCTGTCTACAGTATAGAAAATGTACAGGCTTTCCCATGAAATGAGACAGTTGTTTTTAAAAATGGAAAGTCTAAGATTATCTTGCTGGGTATTTTATTGAGAATATTTAACAAGTGTATTTTTTGCATTTAGGCAGGAGGCGAACATCCCGTCCTTTCTTTAGATTAGTACAAAACAGCAGGGGACACTGCTCCACCTTACAGGAGACAGCTAATCCCAGGTGCTGTGCACACAGTAGGTCAGCTGTGCATACAATGGCCAATTCTAAACATATTCAGATGAGTGCCAGAATGTTCCTTGAAGCTGCTTTTTATTCATTTAAAGGCTCCTAGAAGGAAAGCCAAGGTCTTGATGCTGCTTAATATTACATTTGGCTTTCGCCTTAAGCCACTTACATAACTGACTTGGCATGATTAGAATGGGATAAACTAAGAAAGCAACCAGCAGCTAATGGCTAAGACCCAGTATTGCCTTTTCATATTTCTAGAATGTGAAGATTACCAATTTCAATTTCCATGAGAATTAATCATAAAAATACAACAGAAATATTTTTTTTTTGTAGAAGTATAATTTTCCAGCTGTTTCAGATATTAATTCTTTCACCTCAAACAAATCATAGTAAAATTCTGCTGGCGTCATGTCTGCCATTTATAAACAAACGTTTCCCACAATTAAAACAAAATAATTCTGCTTGGACTTTGTTTTTCATGTAATCATAACATGAATAATGCTTGTCTTTCATACAGTTACAGGGTTGAAACCACATGAACATACAACTATTCTACCTTATTTGGTAATGAAAATCTAGATGGTATTCAGGGAAAAGGATAGGTGTTAGCTAACTTCTAGAAGTCAACATAATGAGATTTTTAAAAAATCAACATAGGAACATAGAATTATTTATTTTCATTTCTTTTTTTATTCACATAATAATAACACCCCCTTGGTCTTACAAAATTCATTTAGCATAAAAAAAGGTGTAATGAACTTTTGACCATAAAACTCTCAATGGGGGAAAACTTAAGAAGAGAAATATGGTCCTAGGAATCTCAATCAAATTGTAACTCGCAAGTAGTAAACCTGGTTAGGTCAGAAATACTTATTAACGTAATCATTTTCTGTCACTCAACAAAATTATTCAAAAGTCATATGTAAAATATGACTTACAGTGGAGAGCCCTATGAAGAAAACAACAGGTCCACATGAATAACGCTGACTCCGTACAATGCAGAAATGCAAAGAGAAACTTGGCCCAGATCCAGAAGCAAGGTGACAGACTGACACTGTTGGACCCTCAGGGATCTTTCCCTCCAGCTTTACCTTGTTTGAGATATCCAAATTGCAACTGGCTTCACAGAGGGCCACCACAATAGGCACGTTGCCATCTTTGCATGCCACGTGCAGGGGGGTGTTGCCGTGCCTGTCTTGGAAATCGACGAAACATCCCTGGCTGATGAGAGTCTGGATGACTTCGAGCTGACATCGTCTTACAGCAAGATGAAGAGCAATGTGTCCATCCTGCAACAGACACCAGGGGCCATGAGCATTTTCACTTAGGCATGTGGGCTTGGCTTCACCTTCCTAGCCACCACTGGGCCAGTTTAACCAGCAATGTGATCAATACTGCAAAGCCTGAAGGAGGAGTCAAAACCAGAACTTTACTCCCCGGGGGGCAGGGGGAGGGGGGGAGAGGGGAGTGGAGGAGAGGGGGAGGGCGTGAGGGAGAGGCTTTGCATATTCTTCTCTGAATAATCACAGACTATGCTGACCATTAGCTTGATTAGTCTAGACTTGTCCAGTATGATCAGATTGAAAGACCTGACACTTCTTTTTGTCTTTGAATGTATAGGACTTAAGTTGGTACTCCAATGGCCTGCCTTTATCAAGTATTTGGAAAACACTTTTGAAAACATGTGCTCAGAAATCTTTACTAACTTCCTAGGTAGAAAACCTATTGTTTTATTTTACACCAGGAGGAACTGAGAAAGTGATGCGAAGTGATTTGCTTGGGGGCTGGCATATATAACGAGAAGCAAATACAACATACTTAACCTCTGCATCCCACTAAAGACCAGCCTGGGAATTCCTCTGCCCTATTGTAGAATCCCTGGTGAGTAGACATGCTGAATTTCAGGAGCTGGGTGGAGTTTGGAAACGTGTCTTATAACTTATCTGTTCTAGGGTTTCTCACTCTGCATATTGTCCTGTGAGTTGTAAGATGTAAACGGCACCAATGGTCTTTATTTACTAGATGCCAGTAGTATTTCCCGCCCATGGTTCGACAACCAAAACATGTCTCTAGCCATTACCAAATGTCCCCTGGGGACAAGGTTGTCCCCAGTTGAGAACCATGTCTCTGCATCAAGAAAATACTCCACAAATTGCAGTTACTAAATTAGAGTGTCCCAAATCTAACTAGATATCACAGCCTCATTTTAAATACAAGTTCACAGTAAAAACAGATTATGCTGAATTTGCTTAATTAAAAAAAGGAACACCTGGTTTAGAATCATGATTGCCAGACAAATAAGAGTGGTTTATTGTCTTTCTATAAAATAGCCGGTGATGGAAGTAAATAAACCACCTATTTCTTTATCTACAAATTAACAGTGTTGCCAATTATACTTCCAAACGAAGATTGTCTTTGGCTCAGCGATCATCACTATACCTGCTCCAAAGTGAACAAGACTAAAAATAGAAGAGACCTGAGCCATCTGACCAATTCATAAATTTTGCTACATGCCATAAATGAATATTAATTATAAAATAGAATCTAGAAAAGTTCACAGAATCTTTGGAACAGAGAAGAGAAGGGATAATTACAATTTGCTGCATTCAAGCTTGTTATTTTAGGTAAACTATTTGAGAAAGTCTTGTGGTCCCTTCAGCCCACTAGATCGCTTCTCAGTGAGTGTGATGCATTCACCCACAAAGCACCTTGTCTGAGGCATTGAGGTCGGCACCGTGTTCAGCCACACACTCCACTATGTCGTGGTAGCCCCTGGCAGAGGCTGTCAAGAGGGGTGTCTCTCCTTCTCGGTTCTTAATGTTCACATTGCAGCCAGCTTCACAAAGGGCTTTGGCCACAGGATAATAGCCATGCCAAGCAGCACAGTGCAGGGGGGTTTCTTCTTCCTGGCCGAGGAGACAAGCACATAGAGGAGGAGAATGCAGTGATATGAAAGAAAGCACAGGTGTGGTGAGAGTCTCTGCTGAATTTGGCAGCAAAGTCAGGCAGGGGAGAGAAAGAACTCTTAGCTATTAGAGAGAAACATTAATTTGAAATAATGGACATGGGTCTGATGACTTTCCTACATTAGTTTTCTTTCAACACTTGTGCGTTGAATGAAACTGGCATTCTGAGTACATGAGCAACAGATGACTTTTGGGGGCCCACTGGAACCAACGGCTCAGCTCTTCTGAACAACAAAGTGCCAGTGTGGGTGGATTTATAGCATCTTCCTTGTAAAAGAGCCTTCGTTTACTTTATCTGAAATGACTAACAGTAGGAGAGTACTTCTCTGAACAAGAATTCTAACAATCTTGATGCCTCAAGTTTTTTGTCATGCATATAACATAAAGATGAGTCACATAAAAGTATTAACTGCTGTGGCAAAGAAGTGACCCAGATAACCATACTTTAATAAGTCAGGGAAAGGGCTGATTGTGAGGTCTATAGGGTCATAAGGTCTATGTATTTATGGTCTACATCATTAGACACATATGTCTGTCTATAAGAGACCATTATAGTATAGTGGTTACTGACATGGATTCTTGAACCAGACTGTGTGGTTTCGAACCCTAAACCCCAGCCCCACTACTTAGGGCAAGTTACTGACCTTTTCTCTGCCTCAGTTTCATCCTCTATAAAACGAAAATGATAGTAATGATAATCTACCTCATAAGGTTATCCAGGGGAATACATTAATGAATGTTAGATTTTGAGTCCCTACCCTTTTGAATCTTAGCAGAAACTTGGATAAAACTCCAAGGTAGGCCATATGACAGTCTGCCTGTACATCCACGCAGAGAGCAGAAGGAAATGAGGACACCGGCTACCATGACCCACCTTGTCCTGGAAATTGGGATTGGAGCCGAAGTTGCACAGTAACTGAACCACATCGGCGTGGCCGTAGCGAGCTGCCACATGAAGGGCTGTCTCTCCAGACTGCAAGAGAAACAGCCAAAGATTCAGAGTACTCCTGGGAACAGCTGTGGGGACTAGAACGCACAAGACTGGAGGCCCACTCCACACAGGCCTGGCTCTGCGTCCTCCCCTGTGGGGTGTCTGCCCCACTTGGGCCAGGGACCTGGGGTGGAGTGTCTACCACATAGCTAGTGTTAAACTTACACAGCTGGCTCATCCCGTTTGTCATAACCCCCGCCCCGGTAAGAATGCTTTCCCTTATCTGTGATGGCTATTCTTAAACTTCTTTGTCTACTGATGCTTCTAGCTATGTTCATTACACAGCAGATATTTCAATGGATAGTTTTATTTATTAACATGTTTTTGATTTCATTGTCTATGTTTAAAATCTTATTTCTTATATTCTCAGAGATTTTAAAAAACATCACTATTTAGCCCATATAATAACTTTCAGTGAATTAGGAATAAGTGCAACTTGCATAAGGTATTTTACTTATATCTGTCAGAGAATTGTCAGAATAAACTGACAAAAACAAAAACAAAGTATTTTATTGCCACCTGACATAAAACTGCCATAATAAATACACATGTCTTTGATGGAAATGCCAATCTTAGATATGACGCAGTACACAATCCATACAACTATATGTGGCAGCCCACGACAAATTAGTCTACAAGTGTTAGAAGCAGAAAAAGGCTGCACAGTGGAATCTATAATGGATGAAAAGAAAGAAATTCTAGGTGCAGGTTCCAGCCCTGCTAATTAACTCACAGGACTCTTGTGTGGACTGAATGAAATAGGTACATGTGAAAGTAAGGTATCTTGCCATATCAATAATAATTTTTATAACATCTTTGCCCAAAAAAAAGCCTTAATCTACATGCATTGTCTCATTAATCCTTCTAGTGCCAGTGATTGTAAAGTCAGCATTGTCAGCCACTTTAAAGACAAAGAGAATGGTCAAGAGATATGCGCTTGGAGAGTTAACGAGAGGACCAGGACTCGGGTCTTTTTCTTCTAGAACTTTCGAGTTTTCATGTTATTCACGCTTGTATATTATGGCAACTACTTGGCAGATTTCAGTTAAAAGCAGAATTTAATATTAGAACAAGCCGCCAGAAAACAACAAGTTTCTAGATCAAATTCTCTGCAGGAAGATTTTGGTCCTGAATCTTTGTTCTTTGGGTCCCAATGCACATGGCATGGCAACGCTCGAATGCGGCCTTTTCTTACCTCCCCTTGTCCCTAAGAAGAAAAGTGGCCTTACCTTGTCTTTAACATCCAAAGGGCATTTGTTTTCATGGAGAAATTTCAAGGTGTCTACGTGGCCATGCCGAGAAGCCCAGTAGATGGCATTGGATCCACCCTGTACAAAAACCAACGCAGAGGCACATTTCCAGAGAGCTGATGGATCTGACTGTGCACGTCACTCAGACTCACTCCATTTCCCTTCTTATGTGATGACGAACTCCAAAGGAGCAACTTCCACGAGGAATGACACCCCCCTTTCATTTTTAGTTTTGACAAAGGAACCAAGGTTATGTGAAACGTTAACGTTCCAGGAAGTTGGGGGGAGGGGATAAGGGAGTTTTGTGTACTGTCTTTGCAGATTTTTAAAATTAATCTATAACTATTTCAAAATAAAAAGTTGTTTTTCTTTTCAAACTCTGGTTAGAATTCGCCATATTGTCAAGGGCCAGATCTAGTACTTTTACAGCTGTAGGAAGTCTATGGAAGCTGATAACAGAGTCATTGTAATGACTATTAACTATTAATCAATTCTGTCTATACTTCCAATCCATTTATCATCCTTACCCTGTGACCCTAATTAGCCAGCAGGCAAAGACGTTTCTGCTGAGATTAACTAGCCAACGAAAACTTTTCCAAATGTGACATCTCATAATAACTCTGTTGAATAAATGTGATCAGTGAGGAGTAAAATCTGGGGCGGTGTACAAAGAAAGGCTGATGTCCAGCAACAGAGCTCAGAGAAAGACCAAGGTCTGCCTCTTTCTTGATAACATATGTTAGATTGGACCAGGCTATTTAAACAGTTCATCTTCCTTTGTAGAAAACTGAGAAATGAAGTAGAACACAAATGTTATTTTTCTCTGTTACCTCTATGATTAGAGACATTTGGAAATACTTAAAAAATTAATTTATTGGCAATAAAACAGAATTCTAACCTTATCCTGGACATCAATTCTTGAACCTCTTTTAATGAGCAACTGTAGCATTTGAATATTTCCACAGCCAGCAGCAATAAGTAACGGAGGTGTCCCATGCTAGAATAGGCAAGAAAACAAACAAACAAACGAAACCTATTTTTCAGGTTTGGTAGGAAAGGAAAAGCTCAAAGCTCAAACTCTCATTGCTTCCCACACACCTTCCTATGTCTCAGTAGGCGCTTAACCACTGCTGCGTTAACAGGAGTGGAAGACGGTCAGAACATATAGCACCCTTCCTTTTTTGGATTTACGATCAAAGGTGACATTTTCATTTGCAGTATGAATAGGTTTAAAATTTCATAGTTAGAGGTGTAATCGGTGCATGTAGAATGACCTTGCATGAACAAAGGCCCCGAATGCAAAAAGACCTTATTTCTAAGTCACTTCACTCTGTAAACAGAAGTGAGTTTTTTCACAGTACGGAGTTTGCATATGGAAGGGAGAATGAAGAAGCAGATGGGGCCTTTCTATCTGGGATTTGAAGGTGCACAGTCACCATGACCATCCCCTCCCCTATCCCTGATAGAACAGTATCAGACCTTGTTGGGTTGGTTAACATCATAGTTGGACAACGAGCCCAGGAGGTGCTGGAGGCCTGGGACATTGTCATCGTTGATGGCGTGGATGATGGCTTTCATCACAAAGGAGTCTTCCTCATCCTTGAGAGAGACAGCAAAGAGATTGTTATGGCACGTCCTCATGATTAGCAGAGTATTGAGACGATGAGAGAACCTGAGGTCTGGGAGAGGGTCTTCCCACCTGGAGTTCCTACACGATCTTGGGTCCTTCTCCTACCTGAAACTTTTCACTACAAAAAATATAATTTCTCCCAAATAATTATTCAAGATGATTTGGATGATTTTAATTTATAATATTTAATCATTCTCATCATCTTACTTAGATTTAGTTTGTATTTTTTCTTGGGTTCCACTGCCATTTTCACACGATTCCCAAATCTAGCCTTCCTCGCCTTCCCTTCCCTTCTTCTAACTTGTTTCTCTCCCATTTCTTTTTTCTTTTTAACATTTCCCATCTCTTTTTACCCTACAAGGCTAGACCCGGAGCCTTGGTGAAACTACTAGCTTCAGGGGAAAAAAAAAGCTGGTATCTGATGTGTGATCCCGCCCTTGGAGTCCCTGGATTCCACTGAGGAAACACTGGCTTCGGTTACAGGAGCAGCCTGGTTCCCACGGAATCGCCCTTCCTGCCTTTCCTGGAGTCCCCTTTACCTCCAGAGTTAACAAAGCCCTGTTGTCTGACTGTCAGAGGAAAGTCTTGTTGAGTTCAGATGTGTCAGTCATATCTGAAGAGTTAATCTGTGATTAGGTTTCAGTTTGAATTAAGGGGAAAAAATTATGAAGTTGTTCTCAAGAGTCATGGACGATCGATGCAATATCAACAAACAAGTAGGTTTTGCTTTCTGGTCTACCATAAACTATATAGCAAGCCCCACTGCATTTTCCCTGATATTCTGGAGTGTGTGTGTGTTTGGGGGGAGGATTGTCTGCCCATTTTGTACTATTACAATCCAAGAGTCTCCAAGGTCAGTGGCAATAGAGGGCTCTCATTTTAGTTCATGAAAATTAAAATTAGTTCTTCCCTTTCTACTGGTCAGCCTTTCTTTCATCAAGCTATGTGTATGGGAGGAGGGAGTACGAGGGTGATAGTGTTAGTGGGGTGAGAATAGATATATAGTCCCAATCAAAACATAAAGAAAAAAGGACAAAAGAAGCAACAGAGTAAATCAAATCAGCCACCCCATTTCCCTACCTCGAGAGGAAGAAGAACAGGCCTGACATTTACATGACTTCAGGTTTTCTGGGTTGTTGAACAGATCAAACAACCTAGACATTCTAAATACACAGTGCTAAGAAAGAACCTCACCAAGGCAAACAGGTTTGCTTACCAGAGTATCGTCGCTTCTGGCAACACTCATGTTACTTCTGGACAAGAATGATCTGGATAATCTTTGGCACAGTGATATCAAGCGAACGGATTGCTTTAAAAGAAAAAAGAGGATAAATAAAGGTGGAGAGAGAGGAGGAGAGGGCACTTATGTAACAAAACTCAAGTTAGTGCAAATGACAGCCTTTGAGATGGTATTCTCTGTTGACAATATGTATTCTTCGGGGGCAGGTAACTAGGTTGAATTAACAAGTAGGTTGGATCATATTTGCTTGAAGAATAATTCCAAAGGTCTTATAAATAAAGGCAACAGGATAGAGAGAGAGTCTCTTTTTACATTTCATTATTAAACTACAGAACTGGATATCCTACATCCTTTCACTCTTGATATTTGGTTCTCTACTCTCTGAGGAATGGGAACTTACCCCAGCAAACCCCTTGTATGTTCCCCCTGAGAGAAGTGTGGTATACGAAGGGTTTGCCCTGTGTCTCTGTTCCCAAGTAAACTGGTAATGGTAGATAATGTGACTATCAAAACTGATACAGTGTTGGACATGAACAGGAAATAGAATTAGTTAACCCCACCGTATCGAATAATCTTACTTTCCACTTTTTCCGGGCTGCAAACTTCTTGAATTTCTCCATGTTTACTGCTGATGCTTTTCTACTAAGTGCTTGCTGGGTATCTTTAGGCTAAAATGAAAGTCCAAGAAAAAATTTAGAGCTCTCAAATTAAAGAAATGTGTTACATGACAAGTTTTTGAAGCCTCCCATTTTCGAGGATGCTTGCTTACACATTCACCTTGCTAGAATAATCTAGGAACCTAGTCTGCAGAGGCTAACTCTTGTGGCTAAGGTTTGATACAATCCATAAAGACTGGATCTTGGGGGAAAGCTGAAAAGTGGAGCTTGGGCCAAGCTGAATAACGACTTTGCATTAGAGAGTTTGGGAATGGCAAGATTCATGATGAGGCCATGTTATGAAGAATTTGAACTAGAATATCTTCAAGTAATTTAGAACTGGGAGAGACCTCAGAGGCCAGCAAATTCAGCCTTTCTGACAGCATTAGAATGCCTTCTACTATATCTTTTTCAGGAAGCCATATGGCTCTACCTCTGAGAGAATAAGACATTATTGCTTTCTAGGGGAGCCCAGGCAACTGTCAGGAGCTCATACAGGCAAAGAGTTCTCCAGCTGCTCCAAACCTACTTCTGTAATGCAAGTTATTGCATTGCAATTCACTTCTTGGTTCCATAATTTTATTCTCCAACTGCCATATTCCCCCACTCTTAGTCCTTTCTGTTCTAGTTGGAGCAACTTCATTTCTTTAACTTAAATGCTGACAGGTGTCAGGTAGGTAAGGTGAAGGTGTAACAGGCTAGAGGGAGGCTGCAGGCCCTGGCAAAAAGACAGCTGTGCCAAGTTTCTGGTGGCTTTATGAAACGAGGGCTCAGTTTTGGTAGCTCTTCAAATTTTTCAAGCCAGATTTGATATGATATTTAAATGCTGGAAATTAATTCAAAAAATTAAAAAAATATTGTTTGGACCAACATCGCACAGGTCAAACCAAATACAGCTGTTGAGTAGACTTGAACTTCAGCTCCCTATTTACAACCCTGCATTATGATAGGTTTCTCCTCTCCACCTTCATTATCATTAGCATATGCTCATCTGTCAATTTAATTAACATATGGCACCAATAGCAAACACAATATTCCAGATGTGACATGTGGTTAGAACCCACAGTAACTAGTAATACCCTAGAACAAATGAATTCCAGGATGCCCTATTATGCCCAAACCAATCACAATATGCAACTTACCTTGATCCAGGGATGCTGCAAACTATCTTGAATTGTCATTCTCTTCCTTTGTGGAGAGAGAGAAAAGAAAAGAAAATTCTGTGACCGCAGAAGCAAACAATTAAGTTTGTTTCTATGCTGGCGGGGCCTACGAGGCAGATACTCTAAAAAATGCAGTTTGGGGCCTGCTTCATGGAAGAGAGCTGAAAATGTCAGTCTTCATGAGATTATTTCACTGCGCTTGCAGGATCGACTGAGCAGATACAAAAGACCCTGCTTGCATTTTCTGAGGTGTTTCACGTGGCGTGCTTCCCTTTGCCAAACACAAACTACCAGGTCTCGTAAACGTGGCCACATACTAACTCTCATCTAGCTGAGGTCACAGTTGAGCACTTTTCAAGAATAATGGACACTCACTTAGGATCCTTGACGAGCAGTCTTCTTATGAAATCTTTGGCTAGGGCACTGGTATTACTGAAATATTCTTCCTCAAATTCGTAGTTGACAGCAGATACATTTGCTAACGTTTCTTGCTTAGTGTCTCCGAGAAATGGGGAGGCCCCACTTAGGCTATTAATAAAGGAGCACAGAACAAAAACAATTACCTCTTGTGTTGTCATTTCATTCCCATAATATCTAACAAGGGGAGTGAGGAATAAGACTATAATCTAGTGTTTGGGCACTCACTATAGAATTCAATTACACTTTATAGGGCATTTAATTGTCATGCACAAAAGCCTGAGCTTAATACAAAAGATGCATTTAAAAAGTTATTTGGAACAGCATCTAATAGTTAAAAAAAAATCTTTTTCCTATTTTTCTAGTGATAGACAGACATGCTTTTTTTCTAGTGACTATGTTGTAGTTTCTGATGACTCATTTCGAATTAGGAGAAAATGTTTAATTAGTATAAACTAAACGTGTTCTGGGGGTGTAAAATGAATATGTTTACATAAAAAGCATGCATAAGCTGAAGAGATCAACATGACACACAGAATGGTTAATAAAACATATGGCTCTCAAAGAAAAAGGGAAAGACTATGAGTTGTGGATTTTGGTACTTACAGAATATAGGTTATTACCCCAATACTCCTAGACACAAAACGGAAACAAAAACACGTCAGAAGAATAATAAAATAAATCAGAAAGATGACAACATCAAGGGTTCGTGACTTACCACATATCTGCCTCAAGACCAAGTGGTTCATAGTTGACTATCTCAGGAGCTAAGAGGAAATAAATCTACATTAAGTTTTGGAAAGAAGAGATATTATCTTCATGTATAAACCAGAAACATGTACCAGGAAAATGATGCTACAGCAGGGGAAATGTTGCCATCATAATGTTCATGAGAAATAAATGCCCACAAGAGCAAAGAAACTTACCAACAAACTCTGGCGTCCCAAATATGTTTTTGAATTCATTTCCAAAGTCAATTTTATGGGCCAATCCAAAGTCGATGATCTTGATCCGAGGTTTGGGGACATTTCTATCCAAAAGCATTATGTTTTCGGGCTTAAAAAAAAGAAAATGGTACAGCAATGTTCATAGCAGCATTATTTATAATAACCAAATGGTGGAAAAATCCCAGTGCTCATCAACAGAGGAATGTATAAACAAAATGTGGTCTATACATATAATGAATTATTATTCAGCCATAGGAAGGAAATAAATTCTGATACATGCTACAGCATGGATGAAACTTGAAGACATTATGCTAACTGAAATAAACCAGACAAAAAGGACAAATATTCTATGATTCCACTTATATGACTAGGAATGGGCAACTTCATGGAGACAGTAAGTAGAATGGTGGCTGCCAGATGCTGGGGGGTGGGGGTGGGAAGGGTTTGGGAGTTATTGTTTGATGGACACATAGTTTCAGTTTGGGAAGATCAATAAGTTCTAGAAATGGATGGTGGCGATGGTTGCACAGCAGTGTGAATGTACTGAATGCCACTGAACTGCATACTTAAAAATGGTTAGAATGATACATTTTACGTTACGTTTATTTTATCACACACACAAAAATAGCAGCTATGTATGATATGTTATGCTGAGGACAAGGTGGCAGAATAATTCTTCCTCTCTCCTGAAAAAACAAACAAAAAATAGGCATAAAGGGTACTTGCAAGAGAACACCAGGAAAAATACATGTCTTGATTTAGATTCTCCCAGGAGTAGACCTGTGACAGGGATTTAGGTTCAAGTGGCTTGTGTGGGAGGAGGCCCCAGGGAACACTTGGTAGAGGAATGGGGAGGAGGAAATGGAAGAAAGGAAGGTGATACAAGGTGTCTCATCAAGGTGGGGTGACTGGAGCGTAATCCCTTGGGGGAACTTGGGGAGAAAGAGGGGCACTCAGAGTTTCCCGACTAAAGCACGAGGGAGTTAGCATGTTTATCCACCGTCTCCCCGTCCTCCACGGCTAAGTGCTGCTTCTGTGAGCATTTACTCTTTGGCATTTCCAGCTGCCAGGCGAGAAACCAGACGTCAGGCAGGGCGCGGCGGGTGTTTGCAGCAGCAGTCTTTGGCGTGTGTATTTGAGTGTTGGGGGAATCCGGACGGGGTCTCGTCAGCTCAGCTATAACAAGTATGGAGGAAAGCATCCTTCCTCTGATGTCCTGTTCTAGCTCCAATGACTGGAACCATTCACTTGGCAATCTATCACACGCTGCTTTGTGACAGTATTTCACTGCCTTGGATTGTACCTTAAATCTTAACATTGTCACTTCCTATTGCTCACGGGTGTCTTCTCTTCCTAAAGAGACCATAACCTCTGTGATGTTTGGGAGTTTAACATGCCTTTTTATCTCCCATAAATGCCCTGGCTCCAGCCAGGCATGACCTTACTTAGCTAGTCTCAGAGTTTGGCTTGATTGATTGCTGGTGACAGATTCAGGCCCAAAAGCCTTTGCATCAAGAGGGAGAGTAGAGACCAAGGCACCTTCTATCTTATATGCCTTGTGGCCATAAGGGGATAGAAACCGGGCAGCCAGTGGCCATTCCAGGATGAAAATGTACCATTACCAACAGCAGTTCCCTTGCCTAAAGATCTGGCTGGTAAGACCCCTTGATTCTTCCCCAGGGATTCTCGAATGCAATCATTAGTTTTAAGCCTCCATCCCACAAAAAGGTTGAGAATCTCTGCAGAAGGCATGCATTGTACACTTGCTGATTTATATTGACAACTCCATTTGTTAAACCCATATGGGAAAACACACATTATCTCTTTCAGATGCCTCAATTTTTCTTAGCACACAAACAACCGATGCTGTGGTTTCCATAAGCTTCTATCTGGTTAACACTCAGCGGCATACCTTAAGATCAAAGTGGGCAATCTGAAGGGAGTGCAGGTAGTAAACACCATTAAGAATTTGTTTGAGAAATTCAGTTGCTTCCTCTTCGGTCAAAGATTCCTTTTCAGCTAAGAAGTCGAACAGCTCGCCCCCTGCAACGCTGAAAACCAAGAAGCAGAAGTTATCGATGACAATCCTGTTTCATATCGATTTGTTCTCTCATAGACTATTGGTGCACTCAAATTTCAGGCAAGAGAATGGCATAAGGACATGCTGAAACCTCTACGCATACAATCAGAATTCTCCGAGCTTCTCATCACTTGAAAACACTTGGGTACCATTTTCCTAATGGAGTTATGTTCACAAATGAGGGGAGAGAGCAGAGACATGATGAGAAAAAAAAGAAATCAATGTATCCTTAAAGCATTTTAAGTAAACATATTTAGAGATGAAGTCTTGACTCACTAAGAAACAAAACTATAAGCCAGCTTTGTATAGAATTTATATAATATACCTTCCAAGCTTGATCAGAGAGCACCTGGGAAGTTCATAATCTATAAGTTAATCAATTTTAAACCCTCGAATTACAATATATAGCCTGAGAAGGATTTTTTTCTTTTCTATTTGTTTATATGCAAATCCCTATATATTTATAAAAATCATATTTAGCAATGCATTTAACAAATACCTTAAATAATAAGAATAAACTTACACAAAACTGAAATGCACGTGCTTGCTGGGGATTTATTTAATCAATCTCCCTGGACAGAGTGAAAGTCCCTAAAGGGCAGAGGTCAGCTTCCAGCCACTGGCCCCCCGCTGTCCCCTACCTCCTTGCACAGTGCCAGCTACAGACCAAGAACTCAAAACTTTTTTTATCAAGTGGATAAATGAACAAATTCTCCTAAAAAATCCACGGTAGTGATTAATGGCAAATAACAGGGAACTTTTAATAAGAGTTTTTATAAGTTAACGTTTATCTTTTAACCATACATTCGCAACATAATAATTAACTGCAATTATGCACATAACTGCTGTGTTCATTATCTTTCTTTCGGCAAGACAGCTCCACAAACATTATACCTACCACATCTACATCCAGAATAAGAAAACTGGTGTTCATGAGATTATACAATAATGACAAAAAAGCCGTTTTCTTAAAGAAAAGTTTCAGATTCTACCCCTTTACCCTCCAAGTCGGTGTCTTCCTTAGCCTGGTCCAGGGTCTGTCCACTGGCATCAGTATTGCTTGGGGTGTTTAAACAATGCAGATTCTGGGCCTCACTGAACTGCTGCCTATGAGTTTCTAAGAGTGAGGATCAGGAAACTGCAGCATTTTCAACAAGCACCCCAGGTGACTCTTAGCACACTAAAAAGTGAGGACCCTTGTCAAAGTCCTTATTAATTACATGCTCCAGCTGCAAGGTCCCGCTCTGATATTTAACTTTGGGATGTTGATCCAGAGGGCAAGGTGACTGCTCCACCCCTGGGACCTGAGCAGAAGGTTAGGGCAGATCTGTGATGATGTGCCACAGAGCCTGAGACAGCCAGGAAGGCCAGGCTGGCAGAGACCTGTAGTTAGTGACGCTCCCCAGGGAGTGGTCTTCCTGCCTGCATCCTCCCAGCCTGGCAGCCCTCTCCTCTCCATAGCGCATGTACCCCACACTGGCTCCCCACTCAACTCCATGAACCCTCCTCTTCTCTTTTCTGTCTTCTTATTCCTCTTAATAACCAACAAAACAGGGAGAGGGGATCCTTAAACTCTAAGGAACAAAAAGGAGGAGAAATGGGAAATTGTTAGCCAACCAATGCTGAGAAAGACGTCCCATCACCTGTTTGCGTCTTTGCTCTCTGGCGCTGGCGGCCATCACTTAGGGTGACTGCAGCAACGGCGGGCTGCACAGGGCGGGTATGGCCTACAGTTGGCACTTCCGGCTCAAATCTTAATTCTGTAGCCGGAAGGTTATCCCTTCTCTCTGAGCCTCATTTCCTCATCAAAGAGGAATAACGGAACTATTAGTTTCAGGATTTGAGGATTAAAGATAATAAATATATGTAAAGCAAGCTGATTTGGCAGATCTGGCATAAGGCTGAGGCCCAGTAAGTGAAATTGGTGCTATTATAAAGGAAAGAAATTGCCTTTCCTATAGAATGCCATGCTACCTGCCCAAAGGCAGGCTTCCACATGAAAGTCCCCATCCTGCCCTGCTTCTTCCCTCTCCCCACTCAAATCCATTGGTGTGGCCTTACGGGGGCACTCCCGGGAGGAGGGGGAGGGTCTCCTGTGACGATGGTGTCTGCCCCGCCCCGGCTTCTCCTCTCTCTGCCTTTCTTCAGAGGCTTGCCCATTCCCCCTCGCTCACAGACTGCTGGTTTCTTGACAAGGAGAAACGGCTGGGGTTTGGCTGCCGTTTGGTGAATTTTAGAGCGCTCGAATAGTGTGGTGCAGTGAGGAGGCTGGAGTCCTTCCTAGGAACCCCACACCTGCCCCAGGCCAGCCCAGGCCAGGCCTTTGCTCCTCTTCTTTGGCCGGCTTTCCCTCCCTCACGTCTAACCTAAGCTTCCTTCAGGTCAATTAAGAGTAGCCTATTTCAGTCTCCTGAGGGCTCCAAGTTCCGTGAGGCAGGATGGCAGAGGGTAAGGAGACGCTGGTTCAAATCCTGCCCAGTTACCCAACCTCGCTGCACCTAACACTCCTCCTCTGCAAAATAAGAGACGATCGCACACCATAGAGTTGTTCCAAGCTTCCAGGACTCGTCGAGCACCTCGGCGTTCAATAAACACTGCTTTCTTCTCAATCTGGCTTCAAACCAGAGGTCCGCCCATAGCAGCAGTGGTGTGCTGGTTTGTGTTTAACAATGGGATCTCTGGGGTTGGGGGTGGGGCAAAATCTATTCCTGAGGTGTCATATTCCCACCATGGTCATTTTAAGCCACCCACGTGATGATGGTGACTGTGGAGTTGGGAAGGGATGTGTACCAACAGCTCTGTGACCTGGGAGAGCCAGCTACTCGGCCCATTGAGGGATTCTGTATTTTCCATAAATGGTGTAAGAGCATCTCCTGCCGTGTGCTCTTCTGTGCCAGGGCTTTCCATCTGTGGCTCCACCCTTTGAATCCAGGCAGGCCCTGTTACCACTTTGACCAATATGACGTGTCAGAGTGACACTGTGCCAGCTCCGGTGTGTCTTCATGGGCCTGGGGTTCCCACGTCCTGCCTTTTGAAGCCCTTCCTCATTCATATAAGACATGCGATGATCCCAAAATCATCGTGCAGTGCAGAGAAATGTTGAAGATGAGATGCCCTGTACTAAGAGGAAGAGGCCAAGGAGTATTGACTGAGCAAGGAAGGAATCTCGGAAGAGGACCTTCTAGCCCGGTTGAGGCCGGGAAGGTCAGAATGTCCACCTGAGCCCTTCCAGAATTCCTGATCCACAAAGTTGTACTACTGAGCTGCTGTGGTGGACCCTGTGAGCACTGTCCATGTTTCCTTTGGAGGAAGGATCTGTTGTCTCCACTGCTGAGGGTAGAGTCAGCACAACCCCCAGCCCTCAGCCCTTGGCCCCCCAGGGCTTGCCTCTGCTGCAGAGCTGCTGCCCAAGGTCACGACCTTTCCCAGGAAGTCCATAGCCAATGGCTGCTCAGTGTAGGAACAACAAACTTAAGTAAATAGTTAGATATGAAATATTTCAGATTTTGTGGGCTATACAGCTTCTATCACAACTACTCAACTCTGCCCAAGCAGGGTGAAAGCAGCCTTAGATGAATGGGTATGGCTATGTTCCAATAAAACCTTATTTACAAAAAGAGGCGGCAACCTGGATTTGGCCCACGGCCTACAGTTTACCCACTCCTGATATAAAGGCCGGGTCAACTCAGCTCAAACTGGGGCAACTCTCAAGGGTCGTTCTGGCTCCAGAACTTGCTGTTGGGCCAGCTGGCGTTGGAGCTGAGCTGCAAGGCAGTGCGACTTCTTCTTCTGCCCACTCTTGCTCCTTCCCCTCCTTTCCAAGTCTTGGGCAGTTCTTAAGAAACATCCTGCATGCTTTTCTCCATGTCAGAGTCCACTTCAAAGGGAACCCACCCTGTACCTCTCTAAACTCGGGAGTAGTCTGTTACATAGCAACAGATGACACCATCTTGAACTGGGTCTGTTTATGAGGCCCAGGCAACAGCAATCAGGTTTGCTTTTCTCTAGGTCTGGTCACCCTATGCCCTGTTCAGTCTGAGCAACTCAACAGAAGTGACAACCAAGAACAATCTTGAAGCCCCCAAGAGAAAGACTAGCCTGCAAAGTGGCAGTGGCTGATCAGACCGAGAGAAAGGAGGCACGGATCATATCTAGTTGTCTCCATCTACCCTGTTTGCAACTTCTGTTCCAGTCTCATGCTCTTTGTGAAGAGGTCCACACCGTTATCTGTCCAAGGAACCAAATCATTCAGCGAGACATCAGGAAGGTTAGGACAGCCCCTACCTCACTGGGCCTGGTCCCGTCACGGTCACCTGCTGCCGGTAGGGCCCTACGTGCAGTGCATACCCATCCTCCTTCACACCAAAACAAGAAGGCAGATGTTTTAGCCACAAACTTCTACTTAGAATATCTTTAGTCATTAAATCAAAGCAATTGAAAATAAGTGATTTCTGCCACAGTTTGGGAGCATAAGTACCAATTGATAATTTACAACTGCCCCCGCCCCCATTTAGCCCCCAAATCTCAGAAGGCAGAAAGTGCCTTGAAGATTTTTTCACATCAGCGCTTTCCCATACACGCTTAGAATCAGAACTCCAAGGCCTACGATGTTGTTGCCGACAGAATAATTTTAACAAGAAGATCAGTCAAACCTTGGCACTTTCGCTCTTTGTTCCAAATTTCACATTTTGTTTAAGAGAAGGAAGATTGATGGAGAGAGAGATGAGCAATCTGTGCAGTAAATTTAGAAAAGCAAGTCTAACCTCTTTTATTAGGTCTTTGAGTCAGAGTGTTTTAAATTATAGCATTATCATGGAAATTGTGTGAAATGAATGCTAATAAGCACTGGCTGTTTTCGCCAAGAGATCTGGAAAATATGAAGGTTCTCTCTCCTCCCATGCTTTTCACTCCCACCAATGCCTCCCCTAAAAGCTCGCCGTAACGGAATGTAATTAGGACACATTACAGCTT